GGGGGGGGGGGGGGGGGGGGGGGGGGGAAATAGCAACAACCAGCTAGGAATATGGTGTTGCCTGAAATTGCCAGGGAAAAGAACAAGGGACCAGGACAAGGACTACTACTACAACAACGACGACGACGACGACGACGACGATGATGATGATGATGACTGTGTTAATGGCCAGGCATTATTCAGGGCCTCATTCCCAGATTGTCACAGCGATAGGCAGTGGCGAGGAGGAGGCGTGTGTGTGTGTGCGGCTTGGGGTTGGGGCTGTTAAAATGTCCACTGGCCATGTCAAAACTCATTTGCCGTTAACGAGCAGCCATTGTGCTTATAAAAGGATTATTTACAAATCACTGACTTTCAAAAATTGTCAACTGCAGGGCAAATGCCGCAGCCACCGATGGCCCCCCACTCATGTCTCCCTCCCCGCACCTTCATCTGTTGCTGCTGCCTGCCGCTTTGATGTACAATTTATGAAATTAACCCTTAAGTGCTCGTTGTTGCTGGCTGACATCCGACATGGACATCGCTTCAGTGAACGCTTTGGCCTCAATTTGATTTCTTTCAGCTGATTACAGCCGACGGAAACGGATCTCTGCCCAGCCTTCCAGCCATCATCAGCATCAGCATCAGCATTAGCGATTGTGTCTCTGTGTGTGTGTGTGAGTGTGTGTGTGCTTCCCATGTTGTGACTTGCAAATAGATTTTGCGATTTACAATTTGCAATTGATGGATGCTTGAACGCTTGAATGGTTGAACAGTCGACTGCCAACTGCCGGAGGATGAGCTGGCTGGCCCGTCGCTGATGAGAAATGCAAACTCAAGGAGTCTGAGGTCCATCGCTCTGTCCCCTTAATTGATGCCCTTTGTTTGCTTTGTGGTAACTCTAATTGGTGTTTGCATGTGGCGATTGCTCTCGCTCCCTCTCGAAGACTTGTGTCAATACAGCGCCCTCTGCCCCACTGACCACTGGCCCCTGCCCTGCCCCTTCTTACGTCTACTTTTGGCGAGTTCTTTTGTAATTTTTGCGTGCGTTTTGTTTGCTCATTAAACGGATTTTTGCCAGCGAATGGAATCCGATTATATGTATATTTCAGTCACACTCTCTGCTGAAGTTGCACGAATGCTCTATCTTTCCTGGGTGGGTTATTTGAAGCGATTTTTGACGTAATATTTCAGTGAAATAACCACAAAGCATGCAACTATCTGTGAAGATTTTCTTTTGAATATTTTCACTCTTGAGCATAACAAAGAGGGCAACTATCTTAAGCCAATCTCCAGTCCAAGCAAACTTACTGTCGCAGGCCATATACTCTCTTACATTTTGCACAAAAAGAAGCTCCCGCTGAGGCGGAGACCTCATCAATTAGCAGGCCGCCAGTCGAGTGCCAAACGAAGTTTGCGCAAAAAATTGACAGCCCCAAGCCGTGGAACGAGCGCCGCGTCTTGCCTCACTGGCCACCGTCTCGGGGCCAGGGCTAATGAGCAAACGTAGCAGGCATAAGTAGTAAGCCCAATGCCACTTGCAGAATCACATGTCAAAAGTTATTAGCCTGTTGTCTTAGTGCAGTTGTAATTTGTTTTTCGGGGGCACAGAGCCATGGCCAGAGCCGGAGCCAAAGCCAGCAGCTGATTACCGGAATGGAATACGAGTGTACGGAATGATACGAAATAAACAAAGTCATTTGGCCAGAAGCAGAGGACCAGAAATAACAGAATTCGTTGCCAAAAAGTTTTCGACTTCTTCTCTTGCTCCTCCCTCCCCCTTCCTTTCTGCTGCTGTCATTGGCAAAATCCCATGGTCTCTCTGCCCCTCACCCCACCTCTGATTCATTCTGTCAATATCGTGGCAACATATTTCCTCGCTTAATATTTTTTTCTTGCTTAGACAAGTTTTTGCTACAGAGAGCTACAGGAAGGTCCTGTCGCTGTTGCTGTCTACGCGATACGTGAGGGCGTTAAACTCATACATCACTTTATCCTTTATCCTGGCACCCATTCTAGCTTCACTCACACCCTTCTAACTGCCTCCCCGCCTGCTGTTTGTCTTGGTCTGCCGCGTTTCCACTTTTTCTCTCCTCACACGCGGATGTGTGTCAAGAGTTGCCAATAAACCCCAGCCTGGTGCTGCTCCAGCTCTTACTGCTGCTCCTTCTGGTTCCTGGGAAGAGTCCTGCAGTGCTATTGAAAATAAATTTATAACGCATACGTCATGTGAACCGGGAAGCGGGATAGAGCAGTGGTTGGAGCGGTGGAACCCAAGACAGAGTTCTGAGTTCTCGCAGTTTATTGCATTTGTCGCTGGCATTGCAAAACTTCAATAAATTATTTTATTGCGACAGTTATTTTGCTTGCTTTGCTCTTGTTGCTCTGTTGGTTTTTCCCAGCCATCCCTTCAAAAAATATAACAGCCATAACTATAAGTACGAGCATATATCTGTATCTCTATGTACCAAGCCAGCATTGGTTGTCGGAACGCATTTGGTCGCTTGCCTCCTTTGCCCCTTTGACAGCACAAATTGCAAATGACTTTATGAATTTGCTGTTACGACTTGGCCATCAGAGTGCGACGACAAGCTGTGATGAGGCCAGAGATACATACGCGTACCAGCACATAATGGCATGTCCAATCCAATCCGGAGACGAAATTGATTCCGTACGAGCAGAGATGACACATAAACACGGAATTGCATAATAAACTTGTGCGGAAGATAATAATGAGATTGAAGTACATTTTTCATGAAGGAAGGAGAAAATTGAAAATGTGCGCCTCCGAGCATTTTGTTGATGGATGTGAAGACACGAGACGCTCAAAGTAGCGACGACTTTTGACCCTCGTTGTGTGAATACATCACAGAGCAGCTTTTGCATGCCTTTACCTATTTTCAACAAATTTCTTCCCCCCAATTGAGCATTAAACACTCTTTTCTGAAGCACTTCCTTGCTGCTATGATGCTCCTTCATCAAAAGTTGACACTTTCCGAGTTAACCTTTAATGAAAAGGCCAAACAAGGCCAATAACAACAGCATTCAGCCAGTCAGCCAGCCAGCACCTCAAGGGCTCATTGTGAAATTACCCAAAGCGTAAAAGGACAAAAAAAAAAAAAGGGCGGCAGGCTGAGAGCAGGGGGCAAAACGAATGGTGGCTCTGGTGGAAAAGCCAAAGGCTAAAAGCGAAAAGGAGCTGCCCTGCTCCTGTTCTCTCCCTCTCTCTCGGTGCGTTCCTTTAGGCATCCTAGTCAAAGAGGCAATAAGTAGCAAAAATTACGCTAAACGTGGCAATTTCCTCGCAAATTGCACAATACATAGACACACACACTCACGGGCGTACATTTTTGTGTATATTTCCGTTCCCTGCCTGCGTGCTCCTCCACTTCTCAACTATAAATATATTTATTATACGGCATTGCGAATAATAAATACCCTTCCACTGTAAAGCTGCGCCTAAGATAGGTGCGCCTGCTGCAAACACCTCTGTATATCCGGTATACCCTTTGGATGTTTTCATGTGCTCATTTTTTATATGGTTAGCGCCTTTGTCCCCGACTCTGCATAGGTGAGATGACTGTCAATTTGCACGGCACCCCATGGCGAGGCACACGCATGGGGCAGCAGCAGGCAGGCAGGAATCATGCGATATTTTAATGCGTGTCATATTTGATTGATGCCAGAACGCGGCCCTCTGGAGCCATGGAACGGCCGTGGAACAATGTCAAGAGTTTAACATTGCCCCAAGCGCCACTCAAAATGTCGCGGCAATGCCCGCATACCCCATGCACATACCTGCTTCTCCCTTTTTGATTACCCCCTCAAGTTCCACAGTTTGCTGACTTTTTTGTTCTCCTCTGCTTTGGCTTGTCTGTAAAAATTGCCCCTGCAGGTATGCAATGAAAAAGTGCGTGGCTCCCCATTGTTTTCATGGTGTGTGTGTGTGTGTCTGTAGCTCTTCTTCTTTGTGTGTCTCTCCCTCTCGTTGTCTCTGTCTCTTTGTGTAATTTAACTTGGCAGTTTGTTAACAATTTTATCAGAAGGGGCTCAGAAGTGCTCTCTGAAGAGCCCCAACTGTAAATAAGATGCGTGTACAGATATGTTTATGGGTGACTGTGTGTGTTTGTGCCATAATTTATGCGCAGACTAAGTGCATTAGGGGGGCTTTTAGTTGCTCCAATGGAACGGAAGGTGGACTCAATAATTTCGTGGAAATGTGCACCATTTAATAATGTTAAGTGTTTCCCTCATCTTGAATGTAGTTAAGTAACGGTGCAGGTCCTATAATTAATCAACTAATTGAATTATTAACCAGTAAATATTTGTTACAAAAAACCCCATCCAACGCCAACATCAATCTCTAACCTCATTAAACCACAACCCAGCTCTCTCCAGGCAAAGCCAGATCATCCATTGCTCTCTTTTAACCACTGCACATTAGCATTCATAACTATCTTTTTCACACTGCTCTCTGTCTCTCTCTCAACTACACCCCCCCACTGTCTTTGTGTCATTCCATGACCCCTTACCCCTTGTGGACAACGTAAACTTTTATTTTCTTGGTGCTATTCTATCGTGTTTTGCAGGATGGACAACGCGGCCATTTAGAGGGCCTGGCATCCGTCTATTGTGAGTTGTTAATGGCTCCCTTTGGAGATATTTTAAGTGCTTTAGAGAGTGCCAGGCAGGCGGCCTGGGCGGACCACAGTCCGCTCCACAATGCCAACAGCGGCGGCGGCAGCGGTGCTGGCGGCAGTGGCAGTGGCACCGCCAGCGGCGCCAGTGGTGCCAGCGGCAGTGGCGGCAGCAACCGTAGCGGCATCGGCAGCGGCGGCGGACTCCATCACCGTCAGAAGCACGGTCATCGGGGGCATTCAATGCACGGCGCCGGTCTGCCCAATAGTCATAGTCAGCCTATTTATGTGCCCGGAAAGTATTCGGTATGTATGACCCCTCTCCAAGGAGCACTACCCCCCGCAACCCAAACCACTCACACACAAACACACTCACAAAATAAACCCAAACCAAAAAAGAGACCCATTAGAGCCATTAGAGGAGCTTCCAACCCCCAACCCCCCGTTCCACGCAAGTAGTTCCTAGGAAAATATTTACAAAATCTATCAAGAAATAAGTATTTATTCTAAAAATTTGATTGATGTTGGCGTTGATTTGGCTGGACACAAACAAAAACGAAACAGAAAAACCAAAAACCATCTCAAAAATTCGTATTAAATCTCTACCAATAGTTGTGTAAATATTTCTATTGCTTGCCGCATGTTGCATGTTCCTGCAGCTATATGTCAGCTACATTTATGCCTAAGTCACTTTTAATTCATCTAATAATTTCCATTTTGTAAACCATTTCAGCCCTCCAGCTGCTTGTCCGACAAGGAGGAGGACGAAATCTACGGCTTTGGCTATGGCGTGTTTGCACCGCGTGTGGCACGCGGCGGCCTGACGCAACAGCAACAGCTGCTGCAACAGCAAACACTGCAAACGCAACAGAGCATACAGCAGCAGCAGCAGATGCAGCAGCAACTGCAGCAACAGCAATTACCCAACGTGCCAGGACAACAGCAGGCGGGAGGACCCGGCGGCGTACAGGGTGGTGTTGGACCGCAACATCATCAGACACTGCCCCCGAATGTAGCCCATATGAATTTTGTGCAACAAAAGTGAGTAGTAGAGCCACAAAAAGACTTTCTAATTGTATTTAAAGCAGTAAAGAGCTTCTTCTCTGTTTAAATATTACACACAAATCACTCTAAATCCTTTTAACATCAAGAACATTATATCTCGCTGTTCATGCAACGCATTCAAATGCCCAAGTCAAACTTATTTTCTCTACCCTCCTCCTCCCAATCTTAGCTGCCTGAGTCCGCGCTCTGCATATTTCTATGAATTTCCACCGACTGCTGGTAAGTGAAAGATGGATTATTTAGTATATGCAAATCAGCAGCCAGTAACTTGGGAACTCCCTTGACTAATTCCATTTGTATATCTTCCAACAACTCTCAACTGTACGGACGCTCCAGAGGGACGCGAGACAAAGAAACGCACCACATTGGCCCGACTGCTGAAAGGCTTGAAAACTGTCAATCGACGGGATCGCAACAATCAACAAAATGGCGCACAGGCCAGGGTAAGTACACACTTTCCCCGACCCCACTGTATCCACTGTACCCACTACTGTTGTCAGTGTTGGTTCTGGTGTGGGGGTCGAAACTCATTTTCGCGCTTCGTTTTATGACCGCAAGCAAATTGTTTGTCCTGGCCCCCAGATCCTTTTTCCACCACTCTCTTTCGCCCTTTCATTTGAATCAACTGCTGCGGTAATTCTTTCAATTTATTTGCTCGCATTTCGCATTGGGTTTCCCAGCATTTTCCATGCCTTTCCTTTCCTTCCCTTTCCTTTCCGTTTTTTTTCTGCGTCCCTTTTGAGCTGCGTTTCTGGCATTGCTTCTTCTAGGCAGCCATTTTATGACTTTTCTGCGTCTTGACTTTGACTTCGACTTGTCCCAGTGCTTGTGCCTCTGCCTGGGCCTGTGCCTGGGCCTGTGCTTGGGTCTCCAGTCTCCCCGTTCTGTGCTCTGCCTTGGCCATACTTAATCTTGGCCCTGGGGACATGTAAATTTTTATGCGCGTTGCTTCTTCTTTACTGCTGCTGCTCCTGCTGCTGTTTCCATTGAAAAGGTTAAAAATGTTTTGCCAGCGGCCATGTCTACATTGCCACTTCTCATTCTTGGTCGTGGCCGTCGTCGTCGCCGCTGCAGCATCCTCCCTAATGTTGTACTCGCTTTATCTGCGCCGCTCACAAAGGATTCATTCAGAGCCTTTGATTAGAGCTGCTGCTGCTGCCGGTGCGGGGGCAGAAGCAACCTTTGGGGAGCTGCAAGAGCGGAGCAGAAGGAGCACTATTCTTGGGGCATGGCAGTCAAACTGTGGCCAAAGATAACGCGGCCAGGACGACGCTGCTCATAAATAAGCAAGGACATGCATAAATTTTTCACAAGCAGCCAACGAGCACCGGGCGCAGAAAAGAATAAATAAAAGAAGAGCAGCAACACGGAGAGCATGGAGCTGGGAAAAAAATAAATAATAAACTGTGGAGTTTGGGGCGAGGGACAACAGCAGCAGGCGCAGCAGCAGAAGCTGGCTCCTTGGCAGCAAATGGAGTCGAGGAAAAGTGGGGGGGGCTTTCCACGGCAAGGACCTGCTGCAGATAAGCGCAGGAAATGACTAAGGATATGTGCCTAAGTAGCAGCATCCTACCCCAGATCCAGATCCCGATCCTGGGCCTTTTCAAAATATAATTAAACAGCACTCAACGGGCCGGGGCCATGTGTTCGGTCGCCCCCACCTGATTTGCTATTTATGATAAGAAAACAAACGCATTAAACAGGTCGACGGTGAAAAAGAGATAGAGAGAGAGAGAGAGAGAGACAGGTGCGAGGTGCTGCTGAGGGTCCGAAGGTTGGCGCGACCCTAACCTGACCCTTGACTCGTTATTAATTAAAAATTAAAACCCCGCCGAAAGGTGTGAAATAGAAAATGGCGTCCCTAATGGCGATAAAGCACGATGCGGAGCCTGTGCCCCCATCAAGTAGTCGAGTCCTTGATTTATGAGCAGCCTTCACCCTACCCACCTTAAGTTCTGGGATAGCCATGAAGGTTAATAAGCCACCTTGTCGCACACAGCAGCAGAACCCTTTACAGAAATTGAATTTAAAAAGTTTTTCTTCAAATTGATTTTTTTCTCGCTTCTTTTCAGGCCGCCAACGATCGTCTGAGGCACTTTCAAATGATAAACGGCGGTGCGGGCGGACAGCAGCACAGTTTCGAAGAGACAATCCATAGGGTAAGCTATAATAAAAATGGGCAACTCGAGTGCCCAAACATACCTCAAAGGTCAAAATATTAGGGGTGGCTAAAAGGTGTGAAAAGTTAACCATTGAAAGTAACTGCCACGAAGAAGTGTAGAGAGGTGATACAGAGAAGGAGCAGGTTGCATCTTCAATCATCTTTTAATTGATATTTATTAAAATTAAAGTGCCTGCTCTGCCTAGAGAGCTTTCATTGCTTTAATTACATACACAAAAATGAGTTTAAAAGTTCAATAGATGAATTTATAGGAAACACTGAACCATCACCACTATTTTGACCGCAGCTGTAGTTAGTTAAGCATCTTTCTATGCATATTGCATTTATATATTTATATTTATGTGTGTAACTGTGGGTGGAATGCTTATTGGCTTGGTTAGATGTTGGCGTAGTCGCATAAATATTTATGCAGCAAATTTAACAAGCTTCTGTTGCCGCTGCCACACTGCCACACGCTGTTCCTGTTGCAACAGCTGCGACAGCCAACAAATTGTACCTCAACACAGAAAAATTTGCACAAACAACAAGAAGAAAGTTCCTTTGGATGTAACCAACCTCCCAATCAACCCCCAGGATGCCCAACTCCAAGCCCTAACACCCTTTTTGACTGCATTTGCAATGCAATTTCAACACGAAAGCTGCGGCTGTTGCTTTTGAGCACGTTTACCTGTAATGGCATGCCACCAGCAGCGTCAGGAGCAGCAGGAGGAGGCAGCAGCAGCAGAAAAGGAAGCGTGTAGATGCATGCAACATTTAAAAGTTCATTGCCGTCAACATTCATTATTAATGACAGCGCGCACGGCGCCCAACTAAAAACAAGCAACGGAATGCAATCAGCAGCAACACAAAACAGACAGGACAGCGACACCTGCAGCAGCCGCGGCAACAGCAACAGCAACAGCAGTTGCAACAACAGAAAACATTTGGAAAATGCATAATGCATATGCAGCCATCGCCATCGCCATCGCCATCGCCATTCCCATGCCCATTCCCAAGCCACCCACCCACTCGAAGAACAAACCCAGGACACGCCTAAAAGCAAACTCTAACACAGTCGCCCTGTCAACGTCTGTTTGCCGCTGCTGTTTCCAAGGCCTGGGCCAACAAAATTAGTTCCACTGCATTCATAAATAAACAAAATCACTCAGCAATAACTATATATAGCCACAAATTTTCCAATTACAGTTGAAAGTACAAGAGGCCATGAGGAAAAAGGAAAAATTTCAACGTGAGCACGAGGAGGTAAGCAAAAACTAAACATTCTTCAAGCAAATCCACACCCGAGACCCTGACCCACCGACCATCCAAACGGATAAATGCGAATGGCAAACATTTGCCAATTGCTGCGAAATAAATCAAGCATATTTGTTTTGGGCACTTTTCACAAATTAAATAAACATAAAACATAGGCCGCAAGCATGGAGAGGGAGGGGGAGGGGGAGGGAACTATTAATTTCACAGATTCTGAGGCCAAATATTTTCATGAATAAAACACAACCAGAGAGAGAGAGAGCAGTCAAGGCCGGAAAAGATGAGCAATTCCGGATGCAGAAAGCGTTTCTTAACGGCCTTAAATCGTTTGGCTTACAGTGCGTTTCGAGTGTGTAGTTAAGGCCTTAAATGAAACCAAAAAACTCGTGCAAATTCGGTAGTAAATGAATATTCTGTGGTCATACGTTCCCTTGCTAACTTTTGATGTGAAGAAGCTTAAGTTTAAATGGTTTTACAGGGGTGAAACTCACTGTTCCCTTATGCCATCTGTATGTGTACATGCAATATAAATGCAATGACTCTTACATGCACAAGCCAATTAAAAAAGCTATTAAAAATATTTGATATAAAAACAGCAATTATTTCAGGGCATAAAAGCCCAAATCCAAGCCCGAGTCCGAGTCCGAATCCCAGCCCCTAGTCCAATCCCTAGCCCGTGCCCAAAGATAGAAGCTACCAAAAAACATGCAAAACAGACACGGAGCAAATTTTAAGCACCACACACACACACACACACACACACCGAAACAACAACAGCAGAAACAATGAAGTGCAACGTGCCAAATGATAAACTTTTGTCTGTCATACACCAAACACACACAACACAAAAAAAAAGAATTACTTGCCACACTCGTAAAAGAAAGGACATGATGAAGGGATAACAGAAGGAGAGTCCAAGTGTATCTGTCATTCTTTGTGTGTGTGTGTGTGTGTGTGTAAAGTGTGAATGAAAGAAAAGCTTATTTATTTATATGCCAAGAGAATTAAAAACAAAGCAGAACAAGAAACTCAACAAGAAAACTCCTTTCTTTCTATGACTCTGGCTGTCTCCTGTTGATTGCTTGATCCTTTTGGCATTACTGAGGATTCCATTGCCAAAGCTTACTCTTACTCTGATTCTGATTCCGTTTCTGATTGGTAATGTAAGCCCGAGGTGGAGGGCGTGGGGCTCATGGAATGTCCAGGCAGAGATTCTTTGCTGGAGATTATGAGGCACAATCGATTAAGGAAATCATTTCTGTGCTGCAAGCTCTCGCTCTCTCTCTCTCTCTGCTGCTGTCTGTCTGCTCAATCAACTGTGGCTCAGGCCCCAGTTAATTATGGCAGTTATCAGCTTTCAATGTTAGATACAGATACTCACCTATACACATGCACACAAGGACGGACATACACACAAATTGCGATGCTGCACGACAATTTGTCTGTTTGCTCTTAGCTCGGAGGCACCATCCAAATCCAGCACGAAAATGTGTCCAGGCCTAAGCAAGGGCAATAATTTTTGTGCATAAATGAAAAGCACACAACAACGTGGAGGAGGCAGGGATGAGGAGGAGCAGAAGGAGGGAACTGTTGTTAGTGCTGCTGCTGCTTAACTTGGCCAAACAACATTCTGTTTGTCTAATTGTAATTGCTGTTTTTGTAGCATCCACATGGAATGGGGAATGGACCAGCCTCGTGCTGCTGCTGCTCCGACTCTGCCTGCCGCTGAGATATTCAGAAGAAGAAGCTGCTAAAAGCCATGCACATGAAATATTTATGACGAGAGTAGAGCAAAAGTCCAGAGAGTGTTGTGTGTGTATGGCAGGGGATGTGGCATGGGGAATGGGGAATGTAGGATAAATGTTTGGCCTGGCCATAGTATTTCTTTTTCTTTAGGAGGATAGTAAGCTGGGACAGAGGGTTTGCATTTGGCCAGGCAATTAAGCAGAGCAATGTGATTACAATTGTAAGACAGGTTTCGGTGTCTTGGCCACGTAAATTTCAATTTGGTAACTGGCCAACACACATGTGTGGCAGCAGCCCCCTACCCCGTTTGATGCAGCCCCAAAGTAAAATGCCATTTGAATGCATTTTTAATGTGGAGGAAAACGGGAGAGCCAACTGGCCAAAAAGCTTTTAGCTAATTTTTCAGCGCACTCTCACGCTGTAGTTTTGCCTTTTCCTACTACTTTTCGTACTTTTACATGACTATTTCCATTGCTGCTGCTGTGGCCCTGGCATGCTTTCTGCACTCGGCACAGAATTTTCATATAGTAGTGTGCCAGTACGTATCCTCAGTGCTGTTGGAATTAGTATTCAGCGCACACAGAATGCTACGTATTATTCGGCAGAACCAGCAAAAATAAAATAAAAATGAAGCAAAAGTCACATTCAAGTAGTTTCTGCTGCTGCTGCTGCCGCTGCAGCGGAGGAAAATTGTTTCACTTTTCAAATGGAATTTTGTAATTTTAACGCCTTTGCCAGGCTGGCACTGGGAGTCGCTAGCAACGACTTGGCTAATAAGATGGTAGAATGGGGGAAGTAGATCCCATTGTTGTTGTCAGCGCCTTCAAAAAGTCGACAGCATTTCGTACAGCAGTCACGTCTGGACGAGCAGACAAAGTGCTGCCAAAATATATTCACAAAAATACTTTAATATTCGTATCATCATCATCCAAAGAGAAGGCTACTGCTGTGTGTCCTGTGTGTGTTCCCGGGGAAACTTTGCTGATCGAATCAACCCAGAAATATTCGCATGACAAACTAATGCAACTTTGTTTTGTCTTTTGCAGATTCTGCGTGACATACGTCAGGGTCTGTTGCAAATGAGTCGCGGCGAGGGACGTATGGGTAAGTCCGAGTCACAGAACCCCGCCCAGATTCCAGAAGCAGCAAAAGAGTTGCTGGCGAAAGGGGAAACTTTAAAGAGCAGCTGCTGGCAGCGCCCCGAAAGTATGCAGTGGGGAATTTTACACTTGAAATGCTTCTGCTGCTACTGCAATTGCAACTACAGCAGGCAGCTCCGTCTGTCGTCTGGCTGAGCGTCACATGCATAAGCGAGCATAAAATCTTATGTCCGTTTCCGGACTTGCATCCGACCATAAGCCGTATGCCGTATGCCGTATGCTGCATGCCGCTGGCCGGAGAAGCAGTTGCACGACCAACGCCACGAGCTGTAGTTGTAGTTGTAGCTGGGGAGTTGGAGCAACTTTTGCGCCGCCTCGCATGTGGCAAATGGCATTTCAAGTTTTGTGTGCAACGTTGCGTATAATAATATTGTGCTGCCATCCTCTTCTCACTGCACATTTTTCGGGAGCGCTTAAAAAAACTGTTTTAAAGTTTACTCTTCCCCTGCCGCTCTGTCTGTGGATTCAACATAATCCTAAACCTAACCCAGACTAACCCACACACACATACGCGCGTACTCGCACAACTTGCGGCTGCTAAACACAGTCTATCCATTTGCAGACGACACCTACATGTACGATGAGGCGCTCAGAACTGGGGCAGGCGTAGGCGTGGGCATGGGCGGAGGCATGGGCGGCATTCCAGGCGGTGCCCACTATGCGGTGAGTGCGCTGCACCATCAAGGTCATTGGTACGACGAGCCGCCCTACGAAAGCGATCCCGATGACTTCCTGATGGCCGGCCTCAACTGCGGACCAGCTGCCACCATTCAGGTGAGTGTCGAATATACCCCTGCGCCAGTCATTATCCCGAGTAGCACCCATACGCGATAAACATCTTCTGCAGCGAGTGGAAGAAGATTAGCAGGATATATTATTGGCAGACGAACAAGATTGGTCACAGCGGCAACATTGTCGCGTCGCAGTTGCAATCACATTTTGAATTTATGTGCCGTGTCTGTGCCCCGTTAATCCTGCTTACTTGGCTGCCGCTGCTGCTGCTGCTGTTGTCCCATTCCCAAACCCCATTCCAAACCCTATTCCAATACCCAATACCAATCCCAATTCCAGCTTTGATTTCTCTACGGAATTTGACAGCCACAAAAGTTGTGAGGGAGTTTCCTGTTCAGCGTTTCTTTCTCCTTTTTTATTCCTTTTCTCCTCTGGTTCTGTGCTGTTCTGTGCTGTTCGGTTCGGTTCGGTTAGGTTTCCTTTTTCGATTCGCCGCTTTTTGTGGCTCTCTTTTATTTGCTTTATTAAATTATACGCTGAATATATTTTGTGCTGGCGCATTGATTTCTACCAACTTCGATTTGTATGTCCTTTGGCATTTCTTCTACGCCAGAAACTCCTCCCACGCTCTGACAAACTCTGCGAGTTCTTTGCTGAGTGCGCCCAGCGACTGCGACTCCAAGTCGAACTCACTTTATTTTTATTGACAGTCAAAAAGTGCATAATTCTTGTTGACTTGCTCGACTTTGACGCTCCTTCCCCCTCCTGTCTGATTGTGTATTGTGTAGCCCGGCTTTGGTTTGGGCTTCAGGAAGGCAGCAGACGGCTCGTCTTGAGACTTTTCCTTTTGCATAATTTTCCTTTGGTTCGTTTTCTTTTAGGATTCTTTTTTTTTTTCGAGTTGCGCTTTTGTGGGAACGCATTAGGCAAGTTATCGGCATTTGGGCTTCTAGTGGTGCTGGGACAGGGGCTTGGGCTGGGGGCTGAATTTGTTTTCTTAGTCAATTGAAATCACTCAACGGAGAGGAGTCCCATCGGAGATGATGGGGCCATTCATGTTGCGTTGTTTCTTCCCTTTGATGTGGCAAACGAAATTTGTTTAAAATTGAAATGAAACTTTTGCGCCGGGCAGGCCAAAAAGGTTAAGCACGCGTCGGTTCGTTGGGGCTGCTGCTTAACGGACCGCATTAGCCAGCCGGAGAGATATCCTTAATGTGACTGGGACTGGCATTTGGCAGCGGGGGAGATGAGACGCCAACTCATTGAAATTGAATTGTTTGCGACGTCCTTTGATCACTGCGACTGGCCACTGATGTTGCGTGGACCTCGTCTCATATCAAGCGGCATTCCCATTCTTTGCTGTGGGTTGCTAAGCCTGTCCCAATAGTCACTGCGCAAGCACTTCGAATTCTTTCTGTCCGAAATCTAATTCTGATTTCACTGGAATGGGTTTCCGAAGAGTTTTCCAAATTAAAAACGTGAAAACTTTGCAATTTCCGTTGCCGAAAAAAACACACACAAAAGCCGCAACAGCAACGAGGAAAAAAGTATCTGCAAAGAGGAAAATTTCACTAAATTTAAAATTCCAAGCTGAGACCACTGCAACAGCGCAAAGTGCGGCATGCCACACAGGGGCAGGACGGCAGGCCCTCTCTTTATCCACTCTCCTGTGTCCCCCCCTCCCTGTGTGGTGTCGCTTTCCCATCATAAACTTTTATAACTTTGTTAATTTTTCATAATTTTGTTGCTCTACAGCGGCCAACAAATTCTACTTGAATGCTAATCCCCATGTTTGACTCTCTCTGTCTATCTCTCTCTTACACACGTATATATGTATCTTACTGATTTGCCATCTCTTTCTGTTTCTGTTTCTGCAGGGTGGCCGTGTACGGTTCTCGAACAACCGCGAGAGCACGGGCGTAATTTCATTAAGATCCGCCGGAGATATTTCACTACCGCAACGAGGGCCGCCGCGTCGAGGTCTTATCGTGCCGCAACAGCCGCCAAATCCACCGACAATAATACCCTTAACGCATGCCAGGTGAGTACCCGCCCAGCCCCTCGTCGCATGTACTGGCGAGTGGGCGGTTGGTTGTATTGTTGATTGCCATTATTATTTGCAGTTGAGTTTATGGCCAAAGGGCCGACAGGAAAGGTGGCGCATTAATAAATAAAATGAATCCCGGAATAGGGTGGAAGGTATGGTGGGGGGTTCCAGAATCATTCTGTAGCTGGGATTGATTGTAAGGGATGGTGGTGTGGGTGGGTACACGGACAGTTATGATAACCCCTTTTGGTCGATGGTCAGACCCAAACCCACACCCAAAACACTTCAAAGGGGCGCAGCCATCGAATGATCATTGAACCATAAAACTGTGCCACAAAATGTGTGCTCACTCTGCCATGAAAAGGCCAAACATTTGATGGACCAGTAAGCAGCCAGTGGCAAGCTGACTGCTGGCTTCCCCCATCCTTAATAGTGGATAGTAGGATAGGTGGCCAAAAAAAAGCAAAAAGAAAAACCAAAGCAATCAAACTGGCTCAATCGCAAAAGGTGCACCAAAGGATTGACCCAACAGACTGACAGTCGAAAGAAGGATGCGGTGAGGAGAGAAAATGTGTAGGTGGTCTCCACTTCATTAGTGCGGTTATCAACGCTCTGCAGCCACATGAATGAATCAGCCAAACGAACGAATGAACGAACGAACGAATGAACGAATGAATGAATGAATGAGGGAATTAGTGACTGACTGAGTGACTGAGTGAGTGGCAGACCAACATATCGAAACGTATTGGAGCGAAAGTCATCAATATCATATTGTTACGCATGCCACAATAATGGGAAAGGGACAAGGGACAAGTGAGATGGGCAATGTGGCAGGTGGCAGATGGCAGGTGGCAGGGTGCCAAGGTGGCAGGCAGTCAAAACCAATAAGAAGACGAAACGAAGACGAGAAGGCAGTGGCATTGGCAGAGACAGCACGACACTTGAATGAAATGGCATTATTGCTACTTCAACGCCAATCCACCAGACGGCGTCAGGCTCTCCTCTCAATCAACCAGGAGGCAGGCACACAGGCACACAGGCAGTCAGTCGGTCTGGTGCCGGGGAACGTTTTCCACACGTACGCATACAGAACGACTTGCTGAAATAACTTATACGCCCTGTGCGCCTCTGGGGCCCCAGCGCCAAAGAAAACTTTCCCAAACACGAAATGGGGAGAGAACGGGCAGGAACCGAGCCCGAAGAAGGTGAAAAACAAACAGCAAAGGCAACCCAAAAGTGAAAATCTCCACAGTGTTGAAGCCAAATGGCAGAAAGAAAAACTCGTGGCAGGAAAAAAAAGAAGGAAGGAGAGGAAAAACGATATCAAGTATTTATTTATATGACCTTTGTTTGCCTCACGACCTCTGGCCGTGCCCCAGCCTCTGACAGAGACCTTCCTTCACCCACAATTATTGTTTGCCATCAAAATGTTTGCCCAATACAAAATTTAAAGTTCCTTCGGTCCTTTCTGTGGGTTTGTAATACCTACTCAGGTTGGGTGTTTGCGTTTAGATAGCTTATTATTGTTGAGGGAAATATTTGTAATTCGATTCAAGGGGAGATTCATTTTGAAGGAGATGTCCTTGGAAATGGATACACAATTGTGACACTTGATTTTCTTTCTTACTTACAGATCCCATGATCGGGAGAGCGGCGACTATGCTGGTTCCATCTCAGATCTACAAAGTGTTACCTCCAGGCTCAGTGCTGTGTCGGTAAGTCTCGGGCGGGGCCCTCGGACTGGTCTCATTTAAGTTGCAACTCCTCCGCCTCCGCCTCCGCCTGCACCTGCTGCCTCCGTCGAACTGCATTCGAATGCGTCTAAATTGATTAAGTGCTCTTTGTGACAAACAAACTTCGCATTTGGCCAATGTCGTCTCGTCTCGTCTGGCCGAAAGTGGACGAGCACCGAAAATGCACATTGAGGGAGTACCCAGTGGGAGCGAGAGGACAGAGAGAGAGAGAGAGAGAGAGACTCTGCGCATAAAAACTTGAAAAGCTTTTTAGCCAAAGTTTTGTCCTGTTTCCCTCTGTCTCCTTTATTTTCTCTGCCTTTTTTTGGGCCCTGGTCCTGGCACTTAAGCTGGCTAAACGTTGTCGGAATACCAACAAAGTTGCCCTCCCATTCGATGGAACAGGAGCAGGAGCAGGAGACGGCAGGGTGGTGCGGAGTTGCAGTCCGGACATCAGCATTTCATTTGCAAAGTTGACTTGACTTAACTTGGCTAATATGGAAACGCACTCAACTGGTCTCTCATTCTCTCTCCACATATTTTTTTCTCCGACAGATTGGCACCAACAATTGCACGGCTCGATATCGAACGCTGAGCGGCGGCATCGGGGAGTCGCCCTCGTTGTCGCCCAGCCCCTCATCGGATTACGAGGACATTGGGACCACACGGATGCACGGCCTGCCCCCAAGTCTGATGGCCGCGAAGGCAAAAAAGAATGGACTGCCGCACGGCAAGGCGAACACGATTTGCCAGAAGGCCACAGTGCATCATGTAAGTTAATTAATCGCTTTACAGAGGGGAGCACTTGAACCCTATAGAGTATAAATATATACAGAGAGAGAGAGAGAGAGTATTGGAGGATTAATGCATTTGGAGATGCAGCGTACACCTGCAGAGACACATTCTGTTGACACATTCTGTGGCCTGCAAAATGTAATTAGCCCGGTCATTGGCGATTTGCATATGCAATCGGAGCAAGACCCTCATAATGATGTTGGCCTAAACTCTTTGGCATAGAGCGAGTGAGACCGGAGGGCTGGAAGGAGGAGCAACATGCATTCTAAATGCAAATGCCAGTTTAATGAGTTTTTATGGCTACACACCCTGCTCCGAAACGGAAATCCCTTCCCCTCATAGAAAGCGAAAGTTCATTTCGAGAAACTTTAAATGTTTTTGCTCTGTTGCAGGCCCTCCCTCTACCATACAAAATATGAGCAAAGTTTTGTGCTCTCTTTTCGATGGTACGTACCCTTTGTACGGGTCTCGTTTGCAATGCAACAAAATATGAGCTGCAATCACCGCATGTCCGCCTTTAATCTCTAGCTGTGCACGTATTTGTGGACAGTGTATGCCCTGGCATTAGCGTGGTCAAGAGCTCAATTGTGAGAGCCAAGTCAAAGCCAAAGGCAAAGCCAAAGCGGAAGCAATGCAGCCAAAAAGCCAAAACCGAGTAGCCCCCAGCCAGACATTGCTATCTCTCCCCCTCCACCACGCTCTCTCAAGCTTTTTCTCTGTATTGGAATGTTCGTTTTAAACTTTTTAATGATTTAACTAACAAAACTTTCGTTTCGTTTTTGTTCTTGCTCATGTTCTACTTCCACTTCTGCTCCCCTCAACATGCAATTTATTGCACAACGATGACGACGATGCGACTCTGGCGACTCATCCAACTTTCACTTGGATTCGGTTTCTGTTTCGGTTCGTTCTCGGCTCGGTTTCGGTTCGTTTCATTTCGCTTCTGTTCTGTTCTGTTCTGTTCTGTTGGGGGTTTGGCAGTCTAACGAGATGCGTAGCTCGCCAAAGGAAATTGGCGCTTTTAATGAGAATGGACGGAACTTTGTTGCCACAAAGGATACATCGAGGGATTTCAGCAACTCCCAAGACAATACCGACCGTGGCAGCATGAGCGATCAGGCGTTTGCCTGTTCGGCCAGCTCCGTGGAAAGTTTGCCCAGCGCTTCCGGTTCGAGTAAGTATACACAAATTGTACGAGTATTTGTCCTTATATACATATATCTTATGTGTGTACGGGTCTGTGTGGGAATGTATCTATGCGAGTGTCTGAGCTTGCAATTTGGAGTTTTTTGGGTTTGATTTTGTCTGTTGCTGCTGCCTCTGCAGTTGCACACTGAGCTGTCTGAGTGGGAGTAAGGCTGGTTGCCGCAGCTCCTCGATGTTGGTGTTGGTGTTGATTTTGCTGCTGTTGCTGTTGCATAGAAAAATTCCCAGACTGCCTGGCTTGCATATTGGTCTATTAACAGTTGTAGTTCTTGTTGCGGTTTTTCCGTTGCTGCTGCTGCACAAAATTTTCCAAACTTAATGAATTTTTAATGCAGTTGCTGGCGCAGAGGGCCTGAGCCAATGCCGGGCCGTGCCGTGCGGTGCCAAGTGGCAGCTGGCAATGTCTGGGGCGTGGTTAAATGAAGGGCAACCGCTTCCCTTTTTTAATGAACAAAACTTTTGCCCAAATAAAGGGAGCAACAACAGACCAAAAGGCGGAGCAGCAGAAGCAGCATCAGCAACAGGACGAAGGAATCGCTGCCAAAGGGGGTGGCAACTTTGAAAAGTGCAAGGAAAAATACTTTATTTTCCATGTGGCCAGGACACACAAAGCAAGGATTAGCCAAAAGCTTTGGCCAGCAAACCAAACAGCAAGAAAAGGCAAAAAACCAAACAACACAAAAAAATAATGGGAAACTTCAAGTGCATATTTGAATATTTTTGGGAGTCCTGGCCTTCGTCTTTGCCTTGCCATGTGTTTCTATGTGTGTGTGGGAATATATTTGAAAAGTTTTTAATTAACCAAACGAATCGTGTGGATGTGTGTGTGGGTGTGTGGGTGTGTGAGTAAGGGCAATGTTTGTCCAAGGGAAAATTCCTTTAGGTTCCTGCCTGCGGCTAATTGGCTGTGGGCGCATTAATTGGAAATTTTCCTAGACAAACTTTGATCCAAGGCTCAGAAAAGGGTGAAAACGAAGCAAACTAAATATTTATAAAACTCTAAATCCTTTCGCTGCAGGCACACAGGCTCTGGTGCGTCCCGGAAGTCCACACAGCTCCATATCGGCCGAGGATCGCACATCCATGACGGTCCACAGCGGCAGCATCTGCAAGGCCAAGGCCCTCGTGGACAGTCTGCCCAATCCCTACGACAAAGAGGCGCTAAAATTTAAGGTAAACTATTGGAAAGGGAAGGCTCTTACGTTGTATTTATTCTTAATTGTTTTTTGCCCGCCTGCAGAAGGGAGAGCTCATCGATGTGCTGTCAATGAATGCCTCGGGCATCTGGAAGGGTCGATGCCATGGCCGCGTGGGACACTTCAAGTTCATCAATGTGGAAGTGCTGCCAGAGCAGCGCCTGAAGAACTCCAGCAGCAAGACCCTGGCCCCCAGCTCCCGGCTGGGCGGCAGCAACAGTGCCTGCAACAGCAATGCGAACAGCAACAACGGTGGTCCCTGCTCCGTGGAGGATCTGCTGGTGCGCATCGGCCTCAAGGAGTACACATCCGTGTTCGTGCTCAACGGGTAAGTGGTGTAGATGAAACAAATTAACCAACCTTTATTGTGTTGGATTGTTTCACCTATCGTTCCATTTGCAGGTACGAGGATCTCGAGCTGTTCAAGGAGCTGGAACCCGCCGATCTCGACTATCTTGGCATACTCAATCAGGAGCATCGGGCCAAGCTACTGACGGCTGTGCAGCTGCTGCATGACATTGAATGTAAGTGCCACTCTCCCACTGCCACTCTCTCTTCCATATCTTCCATTCGTAGACCTTTCTTTGGCTAACCCAACCCACACCCACACTCAACCACCGCCACTCTCAACACACACACACACATGCGTATACTCACAGCTACAAATTTCACCCGTACAGGCTCCGACGTGGACATAGCCGGCTCCAGCTCGGAGAACGATGAGGCACGGCTGAACAACATCAATAAGAAGCACGGCGCCTCGCCCTTTGGCAGGCGCCACTTTCCGCGGGACTCGGGGTGCTACGAGGGCTCGCCGCTGCCCAGCAGCCAGACACCGACGCAGACGGTGAACTCGACGGACGAGTCGAACAGCCTGGACGATGTGGTGACCAAGTGCTCCAGCGAGATTATGAAGCGCGTGGAGAGTGCGCGACGGTGCAAGGACAATCCATTCAAGGCCACGCTGCCGGGCGGCCGGGTGGGCAAGAAGTCATTTCTCGGCGGTGGCGGACTTATGGCTGACGATACGCTCACACGTGGCGGACTCAGTGAGAAGTCGAGCGATTCGGGCGTCAGCAGCAGTTCGCTATCGTCGGGTCCGCTGAAGAGCAGCACTTAACATTTGCCCACAATCCTGGCCCACGAGCTGCTGCTCGGCGTGGGCGCCGGCATGGGCCTGGGCTTGGGCCTGGGTCACGGTCACGGCCTGACCCACGGCGGCACCGGTGGAAGTGTGGGCGCCACATCGCCCACCACATCGGTGGCCTCGGCCAGTCTCATTGGTGCGCATTGCAGTGGCGTGGGCAGCGGGGCAATGGCCGCCGCTCCGCTGGGAAACATTTGCAATACTCTGCCGCATGCCCCCTCCAGCAATGTGCCCCTCAATCGGAACCTGGTCATGCTGCGTAACCATCTGCGCAAAAATACGAGCGGCAGCAGCAATAGCGGCGGCTGCAGTGGAGGCGTCCAGCTGCTGCAGGATCAGGACGACAAGGATCAATAACCCATTTACTACATCAAATTCTTAGTCTAGGTTCTTGGATAAACAACTGTATTTGAGTTAAGTGTATTTCAATTGCTGTGATTCGATAGTGAAAACAAAAGGCCAACACGCGTCTTTCAGTTCAAATGTATAGTGTATAGAGAGAGATAGACAGACAGGTGCAGGTGCAGGTGCAGGTGCAGATGAAGAAAGAGATGGATAGGGAAAGAGGCAGAATCATAAGCCGAGAGGGGAGAGCAGTTGTCAGAGCCAGAGTTAGTCAGTCAGTCAATCCTTCCTCCGATAATGTTGGCATTTACACAAAAAATATATATAGCTTAAACACATACACAACACACAACAGATATACACATACGTTTACTTTTAAATAGGCAGAAAGAAAGGGAGAAATTCTATATACTTAGTAAAGTACTGAACATGTTTTGACTATTTTTAGTTAGCTCTTTTCTAGCGAGACTCGTGCGAGACTCGTGTCTTTGATTTGCCCCGTGATCTTCACGTTTAATGTTCAATTGCTTTGCATAGTCATATAATTCTCAACGTGATATTGTGAAACGTCCAACTTGAATTGCATTTTAAACACACACAGACTCCTTTCCAACGTCTTTTGATGAACACAAACACACACAAAAACCACACAGAACACACAGACAACTCTCGAGTTGATTCCTATTTTAAAGCACTCAGCGTGGTGCAAGCAATAGACCAATTCTATTTTAATAACCAAACGACAAACGAAATACGAGTATTTATTGTATAAACCACACACACACACAGCGAACAAAACAAAACACCAAACTGCCATTCGATACTAATTTTAATTGTTTTTTTATACTCGTATAAGTAAACAAAAAGTAATGTAAATGAAATGGAAATGCAAATGAATATTATGGAGACCATGAGAATCCGTCAGAAACTTGTAAAAAGAATTGCCAAAACCAAAACACAAAATAATAGTAATAACAAATACGATAAACGAGAAAGAAATATAATGTACGCTAAGCAATATTTTCAAATTGTAGCCAATCGTGTGTATATATTTAGGGAGGAGTGAGAGGATGCATCTATAGAGAGGAGAACCGTTTATGCCACTTATGGAAATTATCAAAATGTATCCATTAAGAGCGATTTAGCGATAATCAAAAGCAGACAATGAAATTAGTCAGGCAGCGCAAATGTTTTTAATCAGTTTCCATGAATTAGTTAAATAAATGAACGAGTATTTATCGGCACAAAACGGCACAACAACAACTACGAATAAATCTAATTAAATATACACACACACACACACACACACACACCAACACACTACATGAATAAACTGACGCGAATACATATTGAAGCATAGCATAGCATAGTCTAGCCATAGAGCATATGAATATTACACATATTTATGGCAATTATTGTAAATGAATGGAGACGTAGATGGATGGACGGATGGAAGAATGCTTTGACTTTTACTCGAAACTCGAAACATAATTAAACCTGAACATAATATCTGGGCATAAGATATCGATAATCGTATGGATAATTCATCTACTCTAAAGCTACCCAAATAAATTAAATCAAATTTAAACCACAAACAAAACGCACGTGTTACAGCCAGATAAAAATAATGATAACGATAATGATTAAGATAGAACGAACCATGCAGAGGGGGGGTACGGGGAAGATAGAGAGGGTATGGATACTGGATTATAGGCATTTTTAAATTTAACTATCCAAATTATGTTTAAGTGTTTCAACTGTAAATTGTATCAAAGTTAAATAAAAGATTATTTATATATATTAGAGAGAAACCAAGAAACAACAAAACACAACCACAACCCCAACCCCAACAACACAGCAAGTGCTAGCATCTTCTAATTATCACTGTAAAATGATGTAATTTAAAGAAAGAATATATAAGCAATATTAAAGTTTAACCTTAAAAAGAGCGACAAAATTGATTTTTAAGCCAACACACACACACACACACACAAATTACACACACCAACAACCACAAATCAAACAAAAATCAGTAAAATTCCATTAGTACACAGCAAACAAAATTACAAGTATTCATTCAGAGTTCAGTAAATTTTAGACAAAATTTTCAAAAACAAAAAACTAAAACGAAAACGAAAAGCGAAAATCGATACAAAGAAAATGGCAAGCGATGATTCATGTTTACGCATAAATCAAAGTAAAATTCTTTCAATAAAAGTGAACATATCTAAAAAATAAATAACAGCAAGTGACTTCTATTTGGGTTTGGGTACGGATTTCGGTTTGCTTCCACAAACTAGAAAATCATAAAAATGATCAGGCACGTTCTTTGCACAAAGTCTTTTTCATCCACCGATCTACAATAACCACATAAAGACTGTCAAGAGAAGATCCTGTGCAGTCCCGCCCACATCTGGCAGCCGTTCCAGCACGTGTGGTGAGCTTTATCTCCGCTGATCAGGCACATCATTAACATCCATTGGCTTTCATTGGCATTGAGCTGCCCACACCCTTGGGCAGGCCGTACGCCCATCTATTATCTGATCTTTGCTAGTTCCTCAGTACCCCATCAAGCACTTGATCGGACAAAAGACACCGCCTCAATGGCTTTCGGAGCAAAAATTTCGACGGCACTCAAGGAGAGCTGAAAGTTCACAGCAATTGGGAGAGGAGCAGAGCAGAGACAAGACCCGCGACCTCGGCAGCCCATGTGATTCATCTAACCCTCCGCCAACGGGTATACTGAGCCGATGATTGCTGAAATGTTAAAGATTATATGTAAGTACAACAAATGTAGACTAGGAACAGTCGGCACACCGACACGCTTAGATGGGTCTGTCGCTGACGACGGGTCGGTGTCGTTGCCGCTGACAGTCAATAGATTAGCGACAGCGCCTCCGTAATCTGCTCTGATTAAATCTCAGATCTACTTCTTATCCCAGATCTATACTGCATTCTCAGTGTTATGTTGGTTGAGTGTTGTGTGGTGTTGTGGTATGTTTTTTTAGAGAGAAAGGACCATCCCCGTCTCTCGTTTTTTTTTTTTTGGTGGGGGGGGGGGGGGGGGGGCTTACTTTTTACAGCATGTAGTAAGTCGTCGCGTCTCGGTTTGGATTCCGGTATCAGCACAAGCGGGAACTAAATTTGCGCTTAAGTGCTTTAGTAAATTGTTAAATTGCTTTGTCTTTCGTTCGGCGGGTATATGAAAATTTGAAAATTGATATTATTGCATTTGCACATACCCAGCTAAGTAGACTTTATCTCATTTTCTGCTACAGTTTCTCAGTTCGCAGTTCCCAGATCTCAGTTCTCAGCTCAGTTTCAGTCACAGTCGACGCGCGTTCGCGTTCCCAGTCACAGTCGTCAGACAGCAGCAGCATCTGCGCAGATAGAGAACAAAATAAAGTTGAATCATATCTATAATCTAATAAACAAATATAAACATATGCACATAAACACATAAAGTGTTTGAGTGTACCTCAAAAAACGCTCAAACTCAAAGTGTAAGTGCAGCGGAAGTAACCGTGATCGTAGGCCGATCTCCTGGCTGTCAGTCGTGCCCGTTGCTCGGTTATAATTCAAGCTTAGGCTGGTTGCTCGGTACCAGACATTTATCTTTGTCTAGTCGCCCGAAATGTGTGTTTATCTCCGGCATCTACGGTATCTGCGAGAATCTTATCTCTTTTTTGAGGCATATGAGCCTTGTCTCTGCTTCTGTCTAACAGCCCCAATAAAGTTCAAATTGCATGTGCAATCGCAATTAAAGATTTCTTTGTGTAAGGGAAATGTAAACATTTTAACGACCATACTTGTGTATTATATAATATTCCGCTGTGATTATTGTCCATCAGGCCAATCCATCAAATACTCATTTGCCTTCATTAGTGAGTGGTGAGTGCCTCACACCCGCGACTGATTAGCATGTTGACCCATAGAGCTCTTATCTACATATTTTGTGATTAGATTTGCTGTGGCAGCCGAAAATCGTGGAAGACATAACCTGCTCAATTCTGGCTTATATAAAAATAGCCTCATAAATTAGACAGGTGCAGTGCCCTCGCCATCAGCCCAGCGCCGCTCCACTCCGCTCGGCAACGTGTGGAACGTGGGACCGCTCGTGGCTGTTAGACGTTTACTAGTATAATCGTGTAAATTAAAGAGACATTCTGTTATCAGCTATTAATTTTATAGTGCCGTATATGCTCCATCTTGGTCTGATAAGTCGCCACAGAACCGACCGGCCGTTCAAAGCAACACCGTCGGGTGTTGGTAACAGTTGATGAGCTCTCGCAAGCGTCAAAATTTTCACCATTTCGAGGCGGGATGTGAACAGTGCATTCGTACCGAGAACAATCATTTACCCTTTCAAATATCTCTCAGATTGGGATGAAGTTGTAGGCGTACAATACAACCCAAAGTGAAAAATCAAAGCATAAATTGTTGAATCATATAAATGCTTGAAAAATTGTAAAGTGCAAATTCTAAAAAGTTGCTAAAAAGTTTATTAAAACCGTTGACCAAACAATCTTCTGTGCCGGGCAGCATACAGTCGTGGTAAGTTTAATAGTAAACAATTGTTGGATTGGCAGTGAAATTTTGGAAGAGTTTAGCAGATAAGTTCTGGAAAGTGTTTCATGCTGCATTTGTTTGTTTTTTTGTGCTGAATCCATTGAATTCATTTGCTTTAATCTATTAACCGATATTTCGGCAGTGGATTTACTTACCTTTCACATAGTTTGATAACTATTTCATCATGAAATCGCTGACAGTTTATTTATAGCAATCAAATTTATTCATTAGCAAACAAACGCGGCTCGTTATTCCCGTCCAATATCAGAAATTATGACAGGCAATTGTACATATAATTTAATGATTTTTACAACTGCTCTGGCGCCAAATTCTCATAAGAGTTTGGACGAATCGCTTCTCGTTTAGTGCGAAGTTCTTAAGCTGAGATGCCATAAAGATTACTCTCGTTATCAGGCCCCATAACCGACTGAGTGGCATCCACGGTGCCAGAGCAGAGCAGCCACTCCAAAATAGTGGAAAATGAATGAGAAACTGGAGAAGGCGAACAGCAGGAAGGCGTCCCAGGCGTCGGCCCTCGTCTCCCACATGGACATCGATGAATCGGAGCTGAACGACCCCTTCCAGGCGCTGATGGAGAAGGCGGGAAACCATGGCCGCTACCAGACCCTCTACAATTTCCTGTTCGTCGGCGGCTTGGCCTTCAGCGGTGCCATGATCTACATGAACATCATTCTGGCACTCAACATACCCGATCACTGGTGCACAGTCTCCGGGCGGGAGAACACAAACTTCACGCTGGAGGAGTGGCGTGACATTACGTTGCCCAAGTAAGTTCGGATGAGATGGAATTAATAACCAAGTGCCACTCTACGATCTCTACGATTAGGCAGGCGGACAACCGGGGCAGAGAAACATTCAGCAACTGTGAGGTCTTCCAAATGAATTTCACTGAGATCCAGGACTGGTCCACGTGGAACACGAGCCTGCGAACCAATCAGACACAAGGTGCGTAAAAGTTTCAGTTAACGGAGGGGAAACGGCTTAGATGTTGACAAAGATTCGAGGATTACAACCCAATTCAATCTGAGTTGAGGGAAACTTGCATTATTTCGATTCAGCGTTTTCCTTAAGAAAATGTCTGCTGGAATACTCGCAGAACTTTGGCCAGATTAGTGGTGAAATTACTTGGCATTTCGCTGTGCCGTTCTCCCTGCTGTCTTATAAATTTTTGCAACTTTGCACTCGAATGCATTTTACGAGCGTTTCCATTACCATTCTTCCCATTCGCATACCCATTCCCATGCGCATTTTCCATTTACCATTTGCCATGCCCATTGCGCAGCTTGCCAGAATGGCTGGAGCTATGACAAGACCTGGTACGAGAGCACGATTCCCACGGACCACAATTGGGTGTGTGCCAAGGATTTGTTCGTGACAAATGTGTTCGTTGTGGGTCGTGTGACGGAGGTGGCTGGCTCATTTATATTGGGACAAATGGGCGACTCGTAAGTACACGAGAACTAAGTTCCACGAAAACTAAGTTATGAGAAGGCAAGTAATTGAATTTCTCCAATGAACTGACCAGCTACGGTCGCAGGTTGGTCTACTACATTAGCGTTGTCTTCTGCTCCCTGGGACGCATTGGGTCCATCATGTGCACCAGCTCGTATACGTGGTTCCTCATCATGTCCGGCATCGTGGGCCTCACCGTCAACAGTCTCTTTCAGTCGCCCCAAATCATTGGCATGGAAATCTCCCGGGAGTAAGTTTGACAGTTGAACAAAGTTTCGCCTTCTACTCCCCCAATGCTGGAAGAAACTAACTTTTTGTCCAACCCAACTAAACTCTAGGGAGGATCGCAGTCGCATTGCCTTCTTTCAGAGCTGTGGCTGGTCCA